GGCATTGGGGAATACTTGGCATGCTTTTCCCACTGTATATGATTAGCTTCAGAGGGTCTGACAGCGATGTGGCAATAACACTAACAGACCTCCGGCAAGGAGACTCCTTCCAGCTCTTTACGCTTGAATGTATAAAAAAAAGAGGTATTCTGTGGTTTCATTTTTGGCCACATTGATATCATGATTAGTCATGAAGCCCTCGCAGCGTAGGCGTGAGGTAGAAATGTTGACATGTCAAAGTTAAACTGCATAGCCAAGAGATTTTTGTGAAAAGGCAAGCCTCTGTCAGAACAAGCCTAATGTGTCCAAATAAAAAGCCTCAATGCAGCGGCGTAACAACAGGCACGCACCAGCAAACGAAGCAAAGCCCAAAAAGCTGCGATGAAATAGAGGCAATCAAAGGAGACAGCGAGGGATTGAATACCAGCTTTCTGCGTGACCTGAGGCTTCATTACATTCGTGCCACTGCAGGAAGAGTCTTTACTGCCTCTCTTCTATTCATGTCACTTTCCTGTTGACTGGCACTTGACATTTGGGAAGAATAAGCCGCTTCCCCCTGTTGTCTGTCTGTAAGCTGGACTAAGCATCGAGGCAGACACACAGAAATTCGAAGCGGTTTCCCTAAAACTGGTCATCCCCCTGTCTTTCCTCGGCTCCGAGCCAAAGCCGTTTCCTAATAAAGGAAGAAGTGTCTCTTTCCATCTGGCAGGTGGGAGGAGGGGGTTTACAAATGACGACGGGATGCACCACATCCTGGAAACGTGGACCTATGGGGCCAGTCTACGTCACTTTATCGAAACTGTCATTTCCACTTTCAGAAATGTACATAACACGGCGGGATATTCACTTCCCTTCCTTCAAGAAAGGACTGCAATGCGGATGGGGAGGGGATATGACGTTCACCAGTGGTCAAATTCACACACCGACGAGTTCCCTTTCTTCTGTCCGAGCAGCAGAGAGCTGATGAGATGCTTGGTATTCTTCGGAGGATTTCAGGTGGCTAAAAATACAAGAAGGCAGGCGCGGCTTTGCCCTTTTCTTTTGAACCGAGGTGAAGATGCCCACGAGGGACGAGAAAGGCTGACACATAAGAAACACAGGCTACAACAAGTGAAGGCGCCTCCGTTTGGCAACTAAAAAACATTATTCTTGCTGTGTTTCACACATTGAGCATGGGGGTTTAAGAAGAACAAAGCTAAGAAATCCAACTGCATTGTGAACATCAGAAAGAAATACAAATCCTGAAGAAGAAAGGTCACATTTCTGAGTACGAATCCCGCTAATCTTACTTGCATTCCCCTGGGGCGGAGCAGCTGCCATGTAACAGGTCGCAGCCTTGCTTGCAGATTGCTGAGGGAAAAAAAGACAGAGAGAAAGAATTCAAAAGGTGCCGTTTGAACTCCAATGGAGACATGTTCACAGTAAATCACATTATTATTATTATTATTATCTTTGAAAGAAGGGCCAGAGAGAGGTGGGGGGATAAGAATGGACGAGACGACATGGAAAGGTGGGCGGAAGAGAAGCTTGCTTGTTTGTTTGCAACAAGACGTGAGAATTCGTGGCACCCTGAGCGAGGAAGGGACAACTTTATAGCCTGCATGTACAACTCTTCCCCCTCTTAAAAACAACCCAGCCCCCTCCTCCTTTCACCCTTCGTCTACTAAGGTCAGTTGGATGATTTATTGAGGCCCCCCCACTCTCTCTCTAGCACCACCCACAAGCAAGCACTACTAGTGTAACGATTTAAAATATTGCATTTCAACCATGAGTTTTGAAAATTGTACTTTCAAAATGACTTAGGATTTACTTGAAAATATATTATGTTCCTTTTTAAAATTTGATTTTTGACACAATAAAAGCCTCGAATCTTGAATCCTCTCACCTGTCCTGCAGTCTGAGCCCATCCAGCCGCCGAGGCACAGCTGGGCTCCCGACGGCTCGCAGCGGTAGTGTCCAAAGTAGTCGTCCCGAGGAACACACAGCTTGTTGCACTTGTTGCTGTAGTAGTTTTCGTCGCAGCGCAATCGGATGCGGTAGACGATGCGAGCCACGGGTCCGTCGTGCAGGATGGTCTGCCAGGGGTCTCCGGGGTTGATCATACCGGTGTGGATGCTGCGCTCGATCAGCAGCTCCTCATCAACTGAAACGAAAAGAGATGATGAAGGCAAATCAGTCACGTCAAAGTTGGGAATATATGTGTTCTCATTTGACCACAAAACAAAGAAGATAAACATTTTTAAAAACACCCCCTACTCTCCTTACAAATCACCTGCAACCGAAGAAGACTGAAGAAAAGAATACCAGGATAAATGTTACAGAAAGGACTAGATAGATAGATATATACTTTATTAATCCCAAATTGGTAAATTATTTTGTTACAGAAAGGACTTAGGAGCATAGGTACCATCAAGACTAATTCCTATCAAGCAACTAGGGATGTACTGCTGTGGCTCAGGAGGTAGACCAATCAGAAGGTCAGTGGTTCAGTCCCGAGTCAACATGTCGATGGGTCCTTTGGCAAGATCCTTAACCCCAAATTGGTCCCAGTGGCCAAGAGGTGTGTGTATGGTTTAATGGCGACTTGTATATGGTAAAGCTCTTTGAAGTGTTGTATAAACTGAAAAAGCGAAAAATAAGTGTATGTCGATCGATTTACTATTTGACCAAATTGTTTCCCTAAGGATTTGGAAGAGACCAAAACAAATGCAGCTTATAAAAAAAAGGGGAAGAAATATTGGATGTCGTGAAGTGGACAAAAACACGACTCTAATTGATGGCTAATTTCATTCTGTAGCTGCTGGATGTGTAACGGTACGTCCACACAGCAGCTTTGAAAAAATCTTGGAGCTGGGCGTGTCTGAGAGCTTGGGGATTTTTTGCGAGCAACGCGACCAACAACCAATCACATGAATCTCCCGCCCCCGACATACAAAGCAAAAAAAACCGGGGATTTTATGCGAGCAATATATATATATTAATATAAACTCCCCAAACAGGCGAAAACCTACCAGTTTCACCCACTGTCTCTGCCACCTCCCTCCATGCCTGGTTCCTCCGGTTTGTATCCCGGTAAATAGTTCTGGTCGTAAAGAACCGGGTGATTTGCTACCGTAATATCTCATTTGGAATATGAGGAAATGAACTGCGGTCTGGCTCTCCCAGCTTGCACGCGGTTTGATTGGCTAGCGCTTGTACTGTCAGATTTGCATAAACGGGATTTGATTGGCTGACGCTTCCAGCTCAGCTTCAAAAGTTGAACATTGCTCAACTTTTGAATCCTGAAAATCCTGGAAATCTTCGCTTTGCTTCCCCACAATGCAGTTCGGCGAAAAGCGAGGCAAAGTGACGTCTCCCCATTCAAAGTGAATGGGCAGAGAAGCGTTGGAAGATTTTTTTAACGCTGCTGTGTAGACGGGCCGTTAAGCAGTACTCAGCTCTACAATAGACAGATGTTTGTGTCTAA